CCCGCTCTGTCTCTGGTGAATCCTCTCACCCTCCGCATCTCTGGCCTGTACCCCAGTTCTGTATGAATAAATAAATCTTTAAAAAAAACAAAAACCACCCTTCCTCGCCCCTCTGTTCCAAGGAGAGGCCGCTCTGCCGCGGGAGCCGGCGCTGCCCACCCTGCCGCTCCTCAGACGCCTCCCTCCCGTCCGCCATCTTCCGCTCTGCTCTTTGCTACCTGACTGGCGCTTCCCACCCGCACTGACGCGCTCCTAAGTCTTCCACAGAAACACAAACTTTCTCTTGAAGCCACACTTGCTCTGGGGCTGCTCCTTCCTCGCCACGCCGTCTCTCCATTGCTAATTCTGTAAGTAACGTTCCGCTCCTGGTCCCACTCGCTCTTCCCGCTCGCTCAGCCGTTCCAGGCAGCTCCGTCCCCAGAAGCCCGCCAGCGCGAGTGTGCGCCCTGCAGCAGGGTGGTGAGGGCGCCCCTGGTGCTCCACCTCCCGCTGGGCTGCGATCTTCCCGCTCAGGTGAACGGGCTCGTCTATCTGTTGCACCCTCTGGCCCCTCCGCGCAGCTGACCCTGGGGACCGCTTCCTCTCTGCTGTCAGTGACATCGAGGGTCCCGGCCCATCAGCACTTCTTCCTGTCTCTGATCTGTGGGTGTCCCCAGGGTCTGTCCAGGGCACCTCGTTCCTGCTCCACCCCCCTCAGGAAGCGTGTGTATCCAGTTCAAACTTCTCTTACATTGCACACTCGTGCGTCTCCACCGGACGGTCCCTTGGGCTCTCACATTCTGCATTTCCAACACCTTCGGTTTCACCTTGGCTCCCTGCAGGTGGGACCCCGGCCTCCCCTTGGGCTCCATCTGAATACATGATCCAGAAGCTCCAGCACCTCCCTGCAGGCTCTACCCTAACCCACGGTGTCTCTGTCCCTTGATCTGTCTGATCTCTCCAGCCCCACGGCCATGGCTTGGGTCAGTCACTAATGCTCTTTCTGTCCCCCAGAGCCCCTCCCACCAGCCAGCCAGAGCCCCTCCCACCAGCCAGCCAGAGCCCCTCCCACCAGCCAGCCAGAGCCCC